TTTTCTTTTTTTAAACAAAACCCATTTTTTAAATCTATTTTAGGAAAGGCACATCTGCTATTCCTGTTCCTCTTCGATTCATTTTGCAGTGTCACGAATTATTTTTTAATTAATAATGCCCTAAGTAATATTTCATAACATAACATTTCATAACTTTGGGTTTAAAAGTGAAAAACACCATCCCATTGAATTAATTGCATTAAATCAGACAGGGAACGAATGTTGCGATAGAGATGGAACTTTCAGAATTGGTCCGCTGAAACGTTCCACGGGCTCATAATAATATCACGAATTGGCAACTGATTGCGCCGCGAGAAAAATCGATCGTTTTCGCGAGTTCGAGAGCGCGTTCGCGAAGGAAGCTCTTTCGAAGCGAAACGCGCGCGCCGGTGAAAGGAATTCCACGCCTTCGATTCTTATTGACAGGCGCGTCACTCGAAATCGTTCTTTCGGTGGAATCTCGGGGAATAAAACTCGCTTGAGCTCGCCTCGTTATTGAGTTATTATTGTCATCGACGTCACCCGCTCGCTCCGGAGAAGAAGGGAATCCCGTCTTTCCTCGAGCTAACTTTCTCTCCTCGTTCCGTCGCGACGCTCCGAAGATTCCACCCGGCCGTCGATTATCAGCGCGTTTCTCATATCGGCTTATCTAACCGGGAACTGACCCGCCGACCAAAATCTTCGTTCACCGGGCCTCAATTTTATAGGGCTATCCACCCAACAATACGGAGATAACGCGTAATAACGTAATGTATCCGATTGAACACACAAGAGAATTTCGAAATTAAATTGTTATCGGACATCGAAGAAGCTTTGTTGATAGCTTCTTCGGCGACATTGAATTCATTTCCGTGCCAATTGCACAAGCCGGATGATAGACGCGGCAAATGTCAATTGCGTATCTCTTAATGGATTATTAACATGTGTCCACAGTGAACGGGTCATTAATACATGTCCGCTCCGGAGAGCGAGGCAACCGTGGCGCGATATATCGGCGCGAACATTTCGAGCAAGAAAGTACGCGAACGCGGTAAAATCATTATTCCACCGGCTGCAGTCGTTAATTACGTTTACATTGGATATAAGTCAATGCGCGTGAGTCTCTCTCTCTCTTTCTTATTCTGCTAAATTCGAGGACAACTGTGACGGCGTTACGTGAGTATTGTTCCAAGTGCTCGCAAGCGACCGATACTGCGTGCGCGTCATTGCGAATATCTCGCGGTTAACAGCGCGAACGGCGGAGCTGACGAAATATACGCATATATGGCTCATACATCGCAGTCATCGCGCGCTTTACGAGACGATTCATCGAGTCACAATACATTTTATACCGGTCGCTTATACGGAGCACTGCACCACGCCGCGCGGTGCCCTTATGTCGTGCTACAAAAGAATCGCGGCCCTATTGTAAACAAAGAGGGGGGAGAACCGCGGAAACCGCGACCGAACGTCTCGCTACGGAGTAACGTCAGTTGATCGCGGAGGCACTCGAGAATTAATTTTCGTCTTAAATTCTCAATTCAATCTCCACCGTGGGATTCGTTGTATTTATCTCATTAATAGTTTTAAAGTTTCGGAAACAACAAACCGTACTTTTTCCCCCAATTTTTCCGCGAATTTTCTGGGATTCTCACCTTCCTTACGGAGATAATTAAATGTGACAGGTTTCGGCCGTGAATTTCTCTAAACGAATTTTTGTACCCTTTTGTACCCCTTTTTTTGGAATCCTAATAAAATGTATACAGTTTTCTCAGACAACCATCCAATTACCGTTTAATATTAATGCATTCTCATTAGTTGTAACAATACTGCGTAGGAAATTAACAAGAACTTGATAGTTTTGTTTAGTAGTTGAAGCAGTTTTCCTGATAAAAGTATGTGCAGGTACCTGCCCAGATTATAAATATATTTTATCAATTGAATAGTTTTCTTTCGTCCGTTTATTGTTATGTTTTCGTTCGGTAAATGAGTTCAGATTTTACGTATCTTTTATGCGCAGTAACTGCAAGAAAAACGTTACATCTTAATTGGGATCTCAAGTAATTTCCTCTTCAGTTACTAGTCAGAAGTTAATACCTGTCCAGTAAAATTGATTTAAAAAATGCCTAAGGAATTTCTACCTGGCGACAGAAATCTAACCGGAAAAATGGAAAAATGGGTTTTTTCGGAAATTTAACACTAAAATTTTACTATCATCGCGGCTGTTTAATTTTTCGACATTTACTCGTTAATTCTCGTAATGATCCTATAATTCGTCGTCCTATAATTAGTTATTATTCGCGAATTAATCACCCTGCATTTTTCTTGAAATCGCCAGCTTTACGAGTTCGCAGTTTTCATGATTTTTTGGACATTTTAAGGCGTCGACGTTGTGAGACATAAATTGGAGGCGCAGTCTTTAATTACACGGCCGACCGTTGCATCGAGAGGCTGCGTGCACGCAAGTTGCACACGTGCGAGAGGTGCGTGCATAAACGAGACACGAGTCGAATCGACTGCTCTCTGCCCTTCGTTCGCTAGTTTGCATTTGACAGGGCCACGCCAAGGACAGCGGTTGCAAATGCACGAACATAACGCGACGTTGTGCACAGTGCCGATCAAAGTCGATGTTTTCGTGGTGCGCCGAAATACTCGGGGAAGGAAACGCGAATATACCACGAGAAACGCGAACTAGAAATTATTTCGCGTCCGCCGCAACGGCGGATTTAAAACTGTCGCAGCCTGAACTGATGAGGTGAATCACACGTTTAATTCCTCGTTAACTCTCACCGCCAATGACGAGGATCCTCGTCATTTTGAACATTGCCGCGAAAATACATTTTCTTGTCAAGAAATGTTTTGTTATATCAGAGCTTCTAAGTGATTTTATCACTGAAGCAAAATATAACCAGGAGTTTTTAGCTATGTTGAACACGATTTTTGAGTCCGATTTACGAAATGTTGTCTCAGAAAAAAGATACGACTGTCAGAAGAGAATATTTCGAATTTTCGGATATTCTCGTCATGGGATATTTTTGTTACATTAAAGTTTTACAATGAATTAAATATAATATTTAGATAGTTTCATAAACTTCTACATTTATTGCAAACTAACGTCAAATTTCAATTAAAATTAACTGTATTAGCCGCCATTTTGGGTTTATGACAAATATTTTTTTTGTAATTTGCCTTGAAATTGGTGATGAACGTCATCAAAAAGCCCTTATATAAACTTTCCTTAATTTTTGGGAACTTTTTGGCATTTCAGCACCTGTCGAGAAAAATCATGTGGCAGTAGAAGGATTAAATAATAAACATTAATAAAGTGTCTACAAAGTGTCTATAAAATGTCTACAAATTTCGACAAAGTGTCTATAAAGAGATGTTGAAACATCCTTTTAAGATAGCGCATGGCGCCTCGTAACGTTGTAGCTTGTAGACTTAACTCGGTTTACGCTATAGACAGTTATTAATGTACTGATAACACTGTCGTCGATATATCGACATCATTAATTATGTAATCGTAATACGCCCAATGGCGCGATACACTGATAAACAGACAAGCGTGTACCATTCAGGTAAAGGTATGAAAAACGGTAAATACATGCAAATAAAAGACGACGACACTGACTCTCCGCGTCGCATTCTCGTTTAGCATTAAATGCGCGGCTATTCCTAAACTTTGCCGGGACCAGCACATATATACATATATTCCGCGTATAAGCGGAGGCGGTACATTAGATAGCCGCATTTAGCGCTAAATGTCTGGGCGAGAACGCTGACCGTGGCGTTGACTCGTAACTGCAACGTCTTGAGGGAGCGCGTGCTTTTCACTTTGCGGCCGCAAGAGGTAAGCTCTCTCTTTCTCTCTTTCGACGCCTCTCTAACGAACTAATATATCTGGCATCCGCTTCGAAAATATGCCAAAGCAGATCGAAGATATCCTTCAGAAGCGGATGCACGTATCAACGGCCATGAAGTTAATAAGAAAGTTAGCAATGGGAATTGTCTATCGGCATTCCAAGCCACGGTACTGGCGCCTATCCGGAATCTATATCGCGATATCATAACATTAGTAAAAGCTGTATTCATGACAATAGGAAAAAGAGCTTACGAAAAAAATGGAAACACGACGTCGTTCACGTCGGGAAGTTTATGTTTTACGTAGGAGTAACTTGAAACTTCCCACACGGATGTTGTGTGTACGGTGACAATGTGACTACTGAACGACTCTATTCTCTGATGCAAATTATATTACACCGGAAGAAAAAAAGTGCTAGATTCAGGTGAATGATCACACTCCAATGTTCCTTAGCGCATTTTTACTGGGATTCGGTAAATCTTACTTGGATCGAGTAAATATTTTACTTGGATAATTTACTTGGAAAATATTTCATTGGGATTAAGTAAATTTTACTTGGATCGAGTAAATACTTCACTTGGATAATTGGAAAATATTTTACTTGAATCAAGTAAATGTTATTTGATCCAAGTGAAAATTCGCTAATGAGTATTGGAATAATTATTTATTTAAATCTAGCACTTTTTTCCATGTAATATAATTTGCGTCAGAGAATAGAGTCATTCAGTGTTACATTGTTACTACATACACACACACACACAATATACGCGTGGAAGAGATTTCTACGTGACACAAACTTCCCGACGTAAACACGCCAGATGTTTGCACTTTTTTCTGTGTATTTTCCAACATTCATATATTTGATACATTCGGAAAATCTCTCATCTCTATCCGATCTTTACTGAAACTCTATCTTTCGACGCTATTCCGAGTGAATCTACCTCGAGATAATTTTCCCGTTATCAAGAAATAAAACTGATTCGTTTATCTTCAACAAATGGAGACTCGTGGATTCGACAGTGGTGCTCCGCTCTAGCTGACTCAATCTTTACAATCGCAAGCACCGTGATACAGCCATCGAAGATCCGCATGAGCACCCCGAAATTGCGACCGCAAAGGCTTGAGAAACGGTGGAAAACGGACGTTTCGGATAACTCACCTCGATAAGGTGCCCTTGAGCAGAGGATTCCTCTCGTCATAATATCCGCCGGGCGAAGGCATCTTCAAGTAATCCAAACAATCGGCACGTGGCACTGGTCACTGACACTACGGCACTGCATCACTGCATTCGGTCGCGTGATCCGTGTTAGCTCTCTCCATTCACCGCGCCGGCAGCCGCGATCAAGCCTGGCGGTTACGCGCGCGACGCATCGTTCCGCACGGCCGCTGTCCGGCGACAACAGCAAACGATAACGAGAAGAAGACGGCGCATATCGCGTGACGCTCGCCTTTTGCGAACGACTTTGTGAACTCTGCGCTTGCCGAAATCGCGATTCACTCACCGTTTCGAAGACTTGAGGTCCAAGTCCGGTCTAGAAATGGCTTTGCGAAAAGGTACGCGCTTTAAAGAGTACCCGAGAGTCTTTTTTTTCCTTCGTGATGTCTTATCGTTCTACTTCCACCGTAAGACGCCTCCTTGCTCTCTCCTTCGCACCGGAGATCTCTGCGACTATCTGATGTCTATCTTGTATTCTCTCGGCGCTCCTCCGGTTCTCAGATAAGCGCGCATTTTAAAGGGCATTCACGCGTTCGCGTATCTTTTTTTTTTTCTTCTCGAACCTTCGAACGCCTTAACTCTCTCTCTCTTTCTCTCTCTCTGTGTTAAAATCCACCTTTCTCAACCGCGTGACTTCGTTCGACGTCTATTCTATTCTTCTCTCCGCGCGGTTTAAAGCGCGTGCTTTCAAGAGAACAAGGCGCACGTACGATACAGAGAGATAGTCCCCGTGTCTTTGTCTTCGTTGCCGATGCCTTATCTGTTTTTCACTTCGAGTTCTCTCTCCGTTTTTTCTTATCGATGTACCCGTTACACCTCGATACTCCTCTTATTATTCTCTCCTCCGCCTTTCGTATCGACGTTTTCCTTATTCTTCGATAAGTCATCCACCGCAACGTTCTGCCACTNCCCCCCCCCCCCCCTTGAATCACGGCGATTAGCGCGCGCTTTGAGTGCTTTCTTCGCGAATTTCACGAATTATCGCGCGAGTTAACGCCTCTTCAAGACGAGAGTCTCTCGCGAGAGTGTGTGCGCACGCGCGACGAGATCGACACTCGCGAGCGTACGCGCAATTAACATCCGTTAAGCAGCCGCGCGACTCCGCTCTCCGGTTTCACTCGGCGGTTCGTAAACAACAACGCTCGATCGTCGCGGCGTGATTCGCGCGATCAGTTACAGCTATTACAAGGAAACTCCGTTATAACAGGTGCGTACGTTGCGCGACGTACGGCGCGACCTTACCACCGTAAACAAACTCGCCGCGAAGGACACATACGCGCGTCCACACACACACGCATATGGCGATCCGATTCCAGGCTCGCTCGGGTCGACTGCAATCGCGAAGTTTCGCCGGGCGTCGAGACCAGATGATGTTCGCCACCGGTTGACTGATCAACTGCACGCGAACACGCGTGCGCAACTCCACAGTGTTGTCCCCCTTCTCTCCCGTCGCTCTCTCTCTTTCTCTCTTTCTCTCTCCGTCCCGCGATCACCAGATGTGGCGTCGCGACGGTAGCGTCGCTTTGTCGGCAGCGAAAGCGGCGTCGTCGTCGGCTGCCCGCTTGTCCTTCACCTGCGGACAGAATTGCACTTCTCAGGGCGATTTCCTTCAACGTGCACACGTGCGCACACGTGCACCATCTGGCCGCGAGGCTGCGACTGGTCGCGTCGACACGTGCGATCGCCGCTACCAAACATGGCCGCCTGTCAACTCCCCCCCCCCGCTCTCCTTCCACCCGCTCCGCTCGTCACACAGCAGCAGCAGAAGACGCACGCGGCTTCTCGATTCGCGAAACTGTCGCGCCGAGTTGCGCCAACGCGATGTTAAAACGGTCCCCGCGTTGTCCGCCGTCGTCGATGATACGCGCTTTCCGCGTGTTTTCGCCGTCGGCACGTAACGCGTCGTCGATGATACCGCGCGAAATCTGTTACGATTCAACGCCGCCGAAATCGCGCGCGACTAGGAGTCGCGCGAGTGAAAGTGCGCCGAGTGCAGCCCGAGAGTCTCGCTCTAGTCCGACCTCCCCCTCTCTCTCTCTCTGTTCGTCCGACTGACTCTGTCTTTCTTTCCGCTTCTCTCGCTCGCTCGCTCCCTCCCACCCACCGCCCGGCGTCGCAAGTCCGCGCGCGCGAAGGCTGCTGTTGACGTAAACAAACGGAATATTCCCGCTGGAGCGTCTCGCCGCGCGCGCGAAAGTAAAGGCCTATTTAGCGAATCGGCTCTTCCTCCGGCGCATCAGACTCGCACGATATCGCGCCGTTGCAACAGCAATCGCGTCTCATTTACACGAGCCGTAAATAAGATCTTCTTTATATCGTTGGAGATGTATTTTCATCCGAATTGGGATGTTCGAACTGACATTCACACAGTACAGTCTCAAACAGAAACAAATGCCTAAGAGATGTCTTACAGGCATCTAAAAGGCGTTCTATTTTTTTTTAGATATTTTTCGGAGGTCTTCAAGGGGTCTTTTACAAATTTGTTCTATCTGGTCGGTCGGTCGGTCGGTCACAGAACGGTTGCAACAGTTTTTTCATTACGTGTTTCGAAACACACAAAAATACGACGAACTTATGATTTACGAACATGCGCAGTCGATGGTCAAACAGTTGTCAAAATTACATATACACGTATAATTTTGATATATATATATATATATTTAATTTTGACAGCTGTCCGACCATCCACTGCGCATATTCGTGAATCATAGGTTCTCTTCGTCGTATTTTTTGTGTGTTCTGAAGTATGTAAGAAAAATATTGTTGCAACCGTCCTGTGACCGAATGCACGCAGTAAGAAATATTTTGCGCTTGTGTTAATATTGGTCATTGTTAACATTTTTGTGTTAAATTCTTAACACACCCGTGTGCTAATTTAACGTATCACGTTTATATTATCGCAATATTTTGTGTTGAGTAAATATTCAACATGTATAAGTGTTAAAACAACATACTTTAGTATGTTATTTTAACATATTATGGATATTAATTTTGTGTTTATTTTCGACATAATATTTGTGCGTTACTTTTCAACATATTCACCTTGTGTTAAATTAACACAAAAATTTGTGTCGACCATTTGGGACATATGAAATGTGTTGAATTGGACACAGAATTTTTTATTGTGTAAAATAAAAAAGAGAAGCCAGAAACTCTTAACAGCTGCTGTTTGATACATCCGTATCAAGCATGTTGCTGGATTAAAAACAGGTTCATCGGAGCCTTCGGGACTAATTGCAGCGATATATTAACGTAAAACCACGAACCAAGAAATCCTGCCGTTTTCTGGCTTTATTTATCGCCATATTGAAACTTCTCGAATGCTATTTCTGCCATGTCGTTATAAACGGCTGGAAATCTGAAAGATCTATGGTATTCTACAGAATCTAGTAGATCCGCAGTGCCGATGAAACAACGACGATCGCGAAACGCTCCGTGAATATAGCAAATCGCAAGTCGAAATGCGAGCGTACCCGACGATTCTTACCGTGCTCGGGATTTCTCCGAAAGCAGACACACTCGAGTGCATTCCTTTTAGAAAATGCTTTCCGCCGCCGGCAAGCAGTAGACTCTAAGAAGCGACATCTAACGCCATTGCTCGGCCCTAATGGCTTCCAACAATCCTATTGTCGATCGAGAATCTGGAAACGGTTGATCATCTCACATGCGCGCATCGAACTACCGGCGGACTGAAGGAACGCCCGCGTTCCTCCGCGCAGCGGAACAGGTGAGCACGCGCGCGGTTTATTTATAAAAGCGCGAGAAAGCACAGAGAGACGGAAAGGACGCGAGGTTAGCCGACCCGCCGTCTTCGTAAACTGTGAAACCGTTGCGCGTTCACGAAGGTCACGTGCCGAACGTTCGAGAATGCGATTGGCCGCGCCGAATGGCTCCAAGATGGCGCGTCCACCGAATGCGTACCTACCGAGCGCGCATTACTACGTCAGTCGACGGACGAATTTTCTCGCACTCCCTGCGACGATTTTTTTTCTCTTTTTTTTTCGAGAAGCGCACGAATCATTGTCACTGCGATTGTCGCGGCGTTGTCGCGCGTGGAATGTTCGTGGAAGGTTGCGCGATTTTCAACGCCGTCCGATCGGCCGCTTTATCCTGAATTACGATATTGCGAGAAGTAAACGTTGCACGGAGCTGAGCCGGCATCTCGCCATAACGAATCGCGATAAAACGGCGCGCGCGCGTGCGACGTCGCTTGTTTATCTTAATGTTCGCACGATAAAGGAACGCGCGTAAACAAGGCGAGCGAGCGCGCGATGAGGTAATCTCAACACTGTGGCGGATTCCAAGTTCGGTCGGCCGATTATAGACCGCCGTTATCTCGACACGCAATATTATCTACTTGCAGCCGAAATAGAGAGACGTAGCGCGACGAACACGTAGGGCGAGCGGCATCCTACCATCCTGTAAAAATCGAACATACATCATCGGGCCATTATCGGCCGAGGCTACCTGAACACAACTTGTACGCACACGTTACACCAGATCGGCGAAGGAATCTTCGCGTTGCGACACTTCGTGTCATAAGACGTAATTATTCCTTTCTCCCACAGCTTCTACCGCCTCGTCTCTCTCTCTCTCTCTCCCTGTCTCTCTATGCACTTTCACCGCGCCAGGAGGAGCACAGAGCGTGCTCGAATTAACCGCTCACGTTATGCTGAGAGTCCGGCGATAAACTTTAATCCCGACGAACGGTTCCCGTGTTCGGCTGGCTTCTTCCATCGACGAAGACGGATGTTACGTAGAATGTGACGCGCAGAGGTGAAAGCATGCAAAGAAAGAGGGATTTAAAGGTAAATTATTGGTGAGTTTTCAGCACTACACAATCGAACATCTTCCGGCATCGACCGGAGTTCGATTATCGGCTACAAAGCGCGAAAATCGAACCTGCACAAATTTCGTGATAAATTGTTAAACGCATTTCACATGTCCCAAATGGCGCACTCAAATTTTTGTGTTAATTTAAACAACAAAATGAATATGTTAAAAAGTAACATAAATATTATATGTCAAAAATTAACACAAAGTTAATACGTTAATCGACAATGAGGTATTAAAATGTATTATTTTAACACTTACACATGTTGAATATCGACACTGCACAGAGTTTTGGAATAACATAAACACAATATGTTAAATTAACATACGGATATGTTAAAAATTTAACATCAATCTTAACAAGGATCGATTTTAATGCAAATATATAAATTATTTTTTACTATGTATTTGAAATTCGTAAATTTGGATAACTTTCTAGTAGTTCAAAATTACACAGTAAAAAACATTTTGTACTTGTGTCAAAATCGGTTCATGTTAAAATTTTTGTATTAAACTTTTACCATATTTATAATTAATTTAATATATGCGTAAGTGTTAAAATTACATATTTTATATTTCAATTGTCAATTAACGTAGAAAATAAGGTAGTATTATAACCCTCATTTGCATTTTGTACAATAACTTCGTTATTAATTAACATTTTAAGTTGAAATTTTAATGATTATATTGTTGTTTAATGGATTTTATACTTAAAGTTTTGAAATATTTATTACATCAAACGTTATTTATAAAAATGTGGCGACACTGCATAATGAAATGCAGAGAAACAAAAGTGGTAATGTGACTCCTACTAAAAAATTTAAAAAAATTAATTTTTTATTCAAGAAAACACGAAATGTTTCGTCACAAAATTATATATTTATTCAAAATAAGATCTTAGAAGAAATAACAATAAATATAACCATGAATTTTTAATGTAGATATTAACTAACTTGTCAGAAGTACAGTAGTACGTACAGAAGTGAAACAGTGAACTGTAGATTAGCAGTAGAGCTACAATCAACTTATCGAATAACTACTTCGACATGAGAACTTCAAAAAAGTTTTA